TGGCCTACTTTTTCTTCTTCTTTTTTGGGGGGGAGGGGGGCTGGAGGTGGGCTTTCTTTCACTTTATTAGTACCTATAAAATAAAAACAATTTATGAAAATATTTCCCTTCTCAAGATAGAGAAACTACAATCTTTACAAAAAATACATACCCATAATTGTTACAATACATATCCTTGTATAAACCTTGAACATTATAAAAGTATTTAAGAATCACACCCTATAAAAGTTGGGAGAAGAAACATTTTCTCCAATCTTGTTCATACATTGTGACATTCAAGTACTTAAACGACATCGTTGAAATAAAATGTCTCTAGTTTCCAGGGCCAAAGGGATTTAACTTTCAAGGCCCCATAGGTTCTTTCCTTTGTGTAAGGCCAAGAACCAGGAGAGAGTTCCCAGAGCATTAACTTACCTTAGGTAGGTCAAGCAGTGGTTTACTTTCCATACTTTGTCATGGAACTAAGGGGGTCGGGGGAAATAAGGCCATGGAACCCATGTCGGGCAGGTCCCCTCCCTAGCATTCCTATTTATGTAGTGTGGCTCCTGCAAGAGTATTTTTAACCCTGAGCTCTAAAATGCTGGTTCTGTACTAGTAATTATCTAAGATACTTGCAAAACGATGCTTTTGCAAGTCTAAACTCCTATATTGTGAATTAGAATAAAGTTATGAAAGTGTGACTCCCCTAAGTAGACTTCATTTAGGATTGGGAGCATTAGGAACAATCAGTAAACCAAAAATTCCCTCTTGGAACTATAGGAGAAGATCATTTCTTGTTAAGGCATAGGCCTCAGAAGCCAAGTTCCTTCTTACTTTGGAAGAAGGTCCTACTTCATGAGGGCCGTTATCTGGAGGTCTCAGGGGAGGATCCCAATGAAATATTTATCAGCTTTCCAGGTGTGTCCTTTTGGATCGAAGGTCATCAGTCAATGCAGTAGATCCTGATGTCAGCTATGTCCTCACTCATCTGGTTTTTCTGCTTTCCTGGGCTTGCAGCTGAAACAAAGCTGAGGCCTAGATATATTTGATGCCAGTCAGAAGCTCATTGTCCTGGGGGCTTAATGCTCAAGAGCTATTCTTTGGTCCACTTGTTCATTTCCCCTCTACTGGCCTCTAACCCACATGACTAAGAACATGCCAGGGGAGGGAAGGTCAGGGGAGGGTCTGAACCACATGACCAGTGAAATGAAAGGTCAGAGGGTGTAAACTGCAAAACCAGGATATGCTCAGGCCTAACTGCCTACTACACAAGCAAGGTGTGTGTGTGTGTGTGTGTGTGTGTACATGAGGAGGAGTCACTGCAGAAGAAGGTAGAAGCCTCAGCAGTTACAGGGAATGCAAATATAGAGGAAAGATATGGGGAGGCAGGAATAAGGGGAGGGCAGGGAGGAACCTGGGTATAGACCCCGCCCCTGGCCCATGTGACCAGGAAGGAGGCTCAGTGCACAGGGAGGAGGAGCAGCACATCCCACCCAGCAGGGCAGCAGTGCTTGTGAGCATTTCTGGAATCCAAGCTCTTCCCACAGAAGGAGGGACAGAGCAGGCAGCAGACACCATGGAGACCCCTTCAGCCCCTGCCCACAGAGGACTTGCCCACAGGCAGGGGCTCCTGCTGGCTGGTGAGAGGGGACAGCTACCTGGTGGTGGATGGGAGGAGGAGAGACACAGGCTAGCTGGGGACGCCTGGGGGGAGCAGAGGGCTCTCAGAGAAAACAAGGGTGAGGGGGCAGGATTCTGTCTGAAATTGAGGGGAGAAGACAGGGGAGCAGAGTAGGATGGGAGAAGGAACCAGGCAACAGGAAAATGATGTGGAAGTGGTGAGGGGCAGGAAAACCTCAATGGCTGCTCATTTCCCAACTTAGTCATCACTGAGAGTTGAATGCTGAAAACTTTTGATAATAACAAGTTATGTGAGGAGATAGGAAATTTAACCAGGGGCACTAAACATTGTCCTTAACACCAAGCTCAGAAATGGGCAATTACTTCCCAGGAGGTGCAGGACCCTGCAGCACTCACTCATTCACCCACAGGTACTTACAGCCTGTTGCAGGCGCTGGGGTTCAACAAGATTAGACAAGCCCCTGCCCCCATGCAGATCACACACACACACACACACACACACACACTCTGACCAAGGCTGAGAGATGGAGAGACCTGCTAGGTCCCAGGGCTCATCTCTCCTTCCCAATACATCGCTCCAAACCTTGATCGATTTCTCTCTTTCCTCCTAGCCTCACTCCTAACCCTCTGGAGCCTGCCCACCATTGCCCAGCTCACTATTGAGTCAGTGCCACCCAATGCTGCCGAAGGGAAGGATGTGCTTCTCCGTGTCCACAATCTGCCTGGGGATGCTGCACGCTATACCTGGTACAAAGGGGAAATAGCCGACAGCAGCCGTCAAATTGTTTCATATAAAATAGACACTCAAACAACTACCTTCGGGCCTGCAAACAGTGGTAGAGAGACAATATACCCCAATGGATCCCTGCTGTTCCAGAACGTCACCCTGAAGGACACAGGATACTACACCCTTCTAGCCACAGACAACGATTTAAATAGCATGCAAGTAACCGGACAGCTCCGTGTATACCGTGAGTGATTGCTCTCTGACCTCTGGGTTCAGGTGGGTGAACTCTACTTCACACGCAGGACTGACAGACCTGGACTCTACCTCAAACCCCCTTTGCATCATGTTCCAGGTTAAGATTAGACATTTAATGCAGGACACACAGAGTGGAAACAAACTTCCTAAGATCAGAGTTCCCTTCACAGATTCCAGCCCTACAGACATTCTCCACAGAAAGAAGTCTGATGGGAGTGACTCAGCAGAGGGAGGCTCAGCAGAGTCTCAGTCCCGCCCCTGGCCCCCTCCGCATGAATATGACACTGAAAAAGCCCCTGCAGAGTTTGGTCAGGGCCTGGCCTGAAGGGACCCTGGAATCCTCACAGAGAAGCTCAGCCTGGGAATCCCTCCCAGACCCCTGTCCCACGGCTCCTGAGTCCGGGGAACCTGGGGAGCCTGTGTCAGGTTGGGTTTGACCTCCTGGAAGGGCTGGGTGGAAGCAGTGGCTCTACTTCTGCTCACCAGCCAGGGCTCAGTCCCAAGAGCCACATCAGGGCAGGGACAGAGCTTAGTCCTTCAGCTAAGGCCGTGTCAGGAGAGCACAGGTAGACAAAATACCCCGTATCATTAGCTGACTCTTCTGAGGGACTTAGGAGACTCTGGAGGGAGATCAGTTCTCCAGGAAGGAACAGAGGAGAGAAGATGCTCCTGACAGTTCTCTGTCCACCAGGGGTCAGCCCAGGAATTCTCTCTCATGGAGGCAAATAATAGTAGTGGCCATTTAAGTCAGTGCCTCCTCTAAACTAGGCTTGAGGTCAAATAGTCAGGGATATTTTAAGGTCAATTCAGACAACATGGTAATCCGGGGTCCATTTACCATTTGTTCTGTTTTTATTCAGGGGAAGCGGAGGCACAGTGTGATACAGTCACTGAGTCAGGCTCCCACAGACACAGCAAGGTCCTTGTATAGCCACAGCCCCATCCTCTCCTCCACCACGAGGGTCTTAGGTGTCTGTGGACCCTGAGACCAGCCACTGGTTCAGTGCTTAAGCAAATGAAGAATTAATTTTACTCTAGAATCAAATTACCTACAATAACATTCAGAGTCAGTGCTGGGAATGCCCAGCCCTCCCGCTCAGGTTACCGATCCACACCTCCCTGCACTGGACTTGAAACCACTTATTTGTTTCCTGATGTGTTGGCGTCACTCCCACTTACTATGAAGGAAAGGACTTTGCCTTCTCACTCTCCACCCTACACCTGCTACCAGTTCAGGGATCAGCACTCACTTGCTCTCTCATGAAGAAGGGAAGGAATGATGGTGAATAATGATAGAATGAATGAATGAATGAGTGAATGACGCATACTCGCTAGAGAGACTGGAACCTGGATGCAGAGTCCTAAAAGGTTTTGGCCACACCTGTTCGCTGTCCCGACAGATGCTGAGAACCATGTCCATCCCTCTGACCACATGTCCCTGAAGCCCCCTCAGGAGCCAAGTCCCTTGGTGACTGTGGGGCTGTTCCACTGTGGAAGGTTTTCCAGGCTGCATTGCTCCTGCCCTGAGGCAGCTGTGCACTCTTTGTCCCTGGAGTCTTTGACGTCACTTGTAAACTCCGCTGCCCACCAAGGACATTCTGCCTCTATCTGCTCCTTCCCTGTCCCTTATCTGTCTTCTCCTTCACTCCAGACACACTGCCCTGCTCTGCAATGCTTCCCACACTGTGCAGATTGTGTGCAGGCCCCCACTCCCTGTCAATAGGAGAGGACACATAAATCAGTGGGAGCAGCAGCACCGGCTCCATCATGAGTCAGTTTCCCAGGTCACCAGAAGAAAGAGCTGCTGCTGGGCCCCCATCCAGGTTCCTTCCCCTCTGAGGCCAACGATAGGAACAGGCACATGACAGGGGCATGTAAACCATTGACCTTCTCTCTATATGACTCAATCAAGAAGCAAAGGCAGAAGGACAGGTCTCAGTCCCCAAAGGCTCACGGGCTCACTTCACCCCTGACTGGTGACTCACACACGTGTCCTGGTGTGAGGCTCCCATTCCTCTCACTGGCTCCTGAGGCCTTTCCGAGGTGGGCCTGGTGACCCTGCACCATCTGACTGGATCACTGCCTGTTTCACACACGTGTATCCTCGTGATGATACCTTGACCCAGAGTGGGATCCTCTCAGACTATGAGATCCACCAGTCACTCTCCGTTCTCTCAGATGCTGACCGATTTGAATGAATTTGACTAAACTCCAGTTGTTTCCTGAGTTAGAAAGACAAGGAAGAGCACATGCCACAGGCCCGTGTGGGAGCTCCTCCCCATCTGCCTGATTATCCATAGAAACAGGGAGGGACATTCTCTCCAACTTTACTAACATGGCACATGTCCATTCTACCAATTTGGTGTCATCCCTTTCTGTATACAGCAGAGACACCTGGACTCGCCCTCCCTCCAACCCCCCGTCACTTCTGTCCTCTTAGCAGGACTCACCTTCTCTCTATCCCAGGGAGTCCCTGATTCTAAACCCACTGTGGCATCTTCCTTTGGTCACAGTGTGACCTGGTTGTACGGCAGAACTTGGTCTATGACATTCGTGCTCTCTAAACAGAAATTCCTCCAAAATCGGGCATTAGAACTTTCGGGCATGAGTGATTTTCCCATATTTTTTCACAGTTTACCTCAAAATCTATCTGATAACTGCCAAACACAAATGGATCATGAGGGCCATATTATCAGCAAGTTCCTGCTCCCCCGCCTCCACAAGCCCCCCTTCTGTACGTGCTCCTGTCTGCGTGTTGAGGAAGGATCCCTGCCCTCTGCAGTCCCAGAAAGCACATTAAAGACCAAGGGCAGAGAGCCTGGCTCCGCTGCCG